GTATATGCTCTATATTTTCTTTATCCATTTACCTGTTGGATCAGCACCATGCTGATTCCATATCTTGGCTATTGTGAATAGTGCCACAATAAACACGAGCATGCAGATAATCTCTCTTGCATGCTGACTTCACCTCCTTCAAATATATTCCTGGAAATGAGATGGTTACATCATAGAGTAGTTCTGTTTTTAATTTTTTAGGAATCTTCTTTTTAAATAGTGGCTGTACTAATTTACATTCCTGTCGATAGTGTATTAGAGTTCCTTTTTCTCCACATTCTTGCCAGCGTTTCTTACTTATTTTGATGATAGCCATTGTTAAAACTGGGGTGAAATGGATTGTCATTAAATTTTTGATTTGCATTTCCATGATGACTAAAAATATTGAGTATTTTTTTGTAAATTTATTGGTCATTTGTATTTCTTTTTTAGAAAAGTAACAAGAACTGGGGGCATGGCTCAAGTGGTAAAGCACTTGCCTAGCAAGCCCAAGGCCCTGAGTTTGATCTCTAGTACTACCAAAGAAAAAGAGAACTATCTATGCAGGTCATTTGCCCACTTTAAATTGGATTGCTTACTTTTTAATTTTTTTTGAGTTCTTTATATACTTTGGCTATTAATCTTCTGTTGGATGAGTAGGAAGCAAAGATTTTCTCCCATTTTATAGGTTGTTTCTTCACTTTGTTGATAATTTCCTTTGCTGTGCAGAAGCTTTTTAATTTGATGTACTTTCATTTGTTGATTCTTGAAAAAAGCCACAGTTTAAACATGGACTATTAAAATTTTAGAAATAGATTGCTGATTATATTTGTCTCCTCAAAGTTTTGTTTGGAATTTAAAATTTGGTAAAATTTTACCCAACTAAAGTGAGCATTATTGTCTGAATCAGTTAATCAAAAACCTCTTTTCAAAGAATACGTGGCTCTTGTAAAAGACCTTTAAAAATATTTTACGTATTGCTTCAAAATAGAGCTCTCAGTTTTGTCACTTTCTTGTTAAGGTCATATTTGGGGTGTTTCATGTTTTTTTATTTCCCGAAATAAAATAAAAATACTAATACCTTTCACAGTATTTTTCACAAGGGAGAGAATTAGTGTACCTTCTAGACCTAGCTTGCTTACCACTAGTACCACTAAGCAAATCTGGTTTAACAGATTCCCCCACTCCACACACACAAGTGCATTAGTAAGCTTTTGTTACTGGGATCAAAAACCTGAGATAGTCAACTTAAAAGGAAAAAAATTTTGTGTTGGCTCATGATTTCAGAGGACTTAGTTCATGTAGGCTTGGTCCTGTTGCTTTGTACCTGTGACAAGGCAGAACATCATGGCAGAAGTGCTTGGCAGAGGAGGCCTGTTCTCATGGTGCCCAGGAAGTAAAAGAGAGAAACAGGAAAGGGCACAGAATGTGACCTTCAGTGACCTAACCTCCTAACACTGGCCCCTATATCTTAGAGGTCCCAGCACTTCCAAAATAGTGCCTCAGGTTGGGGACCAGGTCCTTGATACATGGGCATTTAGGGGGACATTCAAGATTCAAACCATAGAAAGTGGCATCATTCATGGAAAAATGGAAATACAGTCACTTGTACATTCCATAATATGTTGCAGCAACAACTGATCTCTCCATTAAATCTGCATATTGTTGATGCATCATTTTAGCAGAAGATGGTTTTAGTAATCTCTTAATCCTTAGAAATTCTTTTCTTATTTTTTAAAAATTTTTTTGGCAATACTGAGGTTTGAACTCAGACTTGCTAGCTGGCACTCTACTGCTTGAGCCATGTCTCCAGTTTTGTTTTGTTTTTTTTAATTTATTTACACAGGATCTTGGTATGTAGCCCAGGCTGGCTTCAAATTCACGATCTTCCTGCCTTAGCCTTCCAAGAGGTAGCTGGGACTACCACTTCTCAAACGATATGCTACTCTTGTAAGACCATCCTTGAAATCAGGCATGTGTTACCATACTTGGTTGCAATTCATGTTTATATGACATAGATGTCCTGGTGATTTTAACATTTCAGCAGCAGCTGGTTTTTATCAGTTCTGTATGCACATTAGTTAAACATTAAAACCCAAAGAAGTCCATTAGTGAATGAAAAAGAAAGTTTGAGATGACAGAACAGTTGGCCCTGTTTATTTCCATGATAACGCTTCAGTTTCATTAACAAAATAGCACTTTTACTATTTCTGACCACACACTTCATAATGACCTGTGAGCTGTGACTTTCTTGAATTGTAGTTCATGTGATGAACAGAAACAGTGAACCATACAAACTAACAAGTCTATAGGAATTTGTACATTTGTCATTGACTACTGCTCCAATATTCTCTATTGTTCTTAAATTCCACAAAGGCAAACATAGGCTGTCCTTAACCATGTAGGCAAATCGAGTCAAAGGAATTGAATGGCACCAGGCATCATCAATAGAGTACTCGCATCATCTTCTTAACAGTTGGTTTGTTTGTAGACACACTTAGACTGACCCTGAGAATGAGCTATGAGGTTGAGAGGATATGAGGTTGGCAAAGAGGTTTGAGGGGAGAGATAAGTAATTGTCTGTATCGTGCAATTTCCTGAGCTCTTAACTATGCAGTCCTAGTCTGAATAGGTATGTCTCTTTCACTGATTAAGGCTTCTTTACATGCTAATGGAGTAAAAGTCATGTTTGCATTGACCATCAGAATCAACTAATACTACATATCAGCTGAGAATTTCAGCTGGAATTTTAGTGGGCAGAAAATGGACTTGCCTCTGGTACTAATTCCTATTCATGGTCTTATTATTAATCTTTGCAAAGAGATGAGAAATGAGTAGACTTGAATGTTCAGTTTGTTTTCGGTCTCATCACTTACTGTAGTTATGAGTGTCTGCCAATTATGGCTGTTTTTAGAAAGCAGTCTTTGAATAGGGGCTAGACAAAGTTAAGAAAAATATTTTAAAAAGAGAAATAGTTTGCATTTTATGGCAGGATGAACAATCCACTTATGCTATCATTGTATTCTATTTATTAGAGCTTATTTTAAGTGACTTGATGCCTTTAAGCATAATTCTTTATGTATGCTATTTTAGTTGTATTGCCATATTACAAACAACTTTAAAATTTAGTAGCTTAAAACAGCAACCCTTTTATCATATCATTGTCTTTCACTTTTGTGTGCAGGATTTGGTTGGGCAATTCTTGCATGCTTCGTGTGGCATTAACTAGGGTCACTGGATGACAACCTTCAGTTGGCAGCTGATTGGTCTGGAGGATATGAGATGGCTTCATTCACATACCTGTTATTTCAGACAGGCTGGGCCCTTATGGGACTTCTTTCCATGCTGTCTCACTAGCAAGGTAGTTGGGCTTTTTACTCCACTGCTCAGGGATCCAAGAACAAAATGATTCAAGAGATGACAGTTGTTAACTGTCAGCCTCTTGGGCCTAGGCTTGATGCTGGCCACTTGGACTTAAGAATTACATGATGCATACCAATGTTGTTACTATAAAGTCCCCTGAAATTTTAAATCTCTGTGACCATAGAGTAAATGCTGATGTGTGGAGACCTAGTGTGATGATAATACACACATATTTTCACATTAATATTTGTGTTTTTATATATGCAAATTAAACTTCTTAGATAATAAAATTTCATTGCCCTTTTCCCTGAAATAACAGTGATTTTCCTGTTAAAATAACTTGAGTTGAGGAAGATTAGTTAGTTAATTGGAAAATTGGTAAGAATAGGTTCTGGAGCTTGTGCTTCAAGCAGTTATTGGTTTTCAGCTTTCTGTACCCTATTCAATTTGGTGGCAATCAGAGTACTTTGAATCTAGGCAAGACCTGGGGCTGGGGTGTAGCTCAGTGATAGACTATATGCTCAGCATGTGTAAGGCCCTGTGTTTAATCCCCAGTACCAACTACCTCCTTCCAAAATCCAAAAAGCAAACAAACAAATAAACAAAAAAAGGGCAAGACTCAAGTCTTGCTAGGTGCTCTTGTGTGTGGATGTGGATATTTGAGAAGTTTAATGACTTTTTTCCAGACCGTTGGTGGTGGTACAGTGCAAGAAAGGGTACCAGAGCTGGATGGCGGTGGATCCACAGAGCAGGAGAAGAACCATTCTAACAGTAGCACCTTGTCTGACCGAAGACTCAGCAACTCCAGCCTTTGTAGCATTGAAGAAGAACACCGAACAGTGTATGAGATGGTGCAACGGATTCTTTTGTCAACACGAGGTTATGTCAATTTTGTGAATGAAATATTTCGACAGGTCAGTGTGTGTGTTACAAATTCACAAAATTGAAGAGAGTTTTTGTTCTTGTTTGTGTTAGTTTTCCATTACTCTGCCAAATATCTGAGATACACCAACTTAAAAAGAGGAAAGGTTTTTTTGGCTCACAGTTTTGAAGGTTTCAGTCTCTGAACAATTGACTCCATTCCTTTGGACCTGTGGCAGTACAGTACATTATGGCAAGAATCTGAGGGAAAGGAGGCCTCGTGTTGAGTGTGAAAAAGGAAGAGGAATAGATAATTTCACACAACTAATAGCAAGCACCTGATGACTTACAGCTTCCCGTTAGGCCTCACCTCTTAATGTTTCTACACTTCCCAATAGTGCCAAACTGGGATCAGGCCATTCCTGAGTATCCAGCAACAAGTGAGTCTAGAACAAAGAGACTGCTGTTGTTCCCACAGCCCCAGAGCTCTCTGACATGACCAGACATTCCTGCAAAAAGTTTTACTTTCCCTGCAAAGGCATATGGCATGCACATATGATAGATATATTTATGGCACAAGAGAAAAAAAAAGTGGGTGGGGAGGCGAATAAAAGGAGATGAAATATTAAATAACAGACCTCTGATGGAAAACTGTAGTAAATAGAAAGGTACTAGGGAGACCAGAAATGTGAACAAGAAAAGAGACCTGAGCAAAGGAAGGAGACAGAAGAGAGTAGAGGCCTAGGCTGCTAATTCCACATCAGATTTGCAGCCAGGGCGGATGTTGCCCCTAGGGGAACATGAGCAATGTCTGGAGACAACTCGGGGAGCTACTGACATCTAATGGGTAGCAGTCAACGTGTTGCTAAATACTCTGTAGCACACAGAAAGGTCTCCTCCTTATCTCTGCCATGACAAAGAACCATCCAGTCCCACATGTCAGTAGTGCTGCTTTGGAGAAGCTGTAAGTTATAGCCTTAAGAACTCTGAGTGGGTTTCTATATTGCACTTTATTGCCCTTGCTTGGTCAATGATGAATTCTTTTATATGGAAAACACAATCTGATTTCTTTTATAATCTTCTTAATTTTAAGTGAAGATATTCAGGGACTATAAAAGCCTAAAGGTTATTAAAGTGTAAATTGGACATTCAAGATATAAACATTCTTAGTTGGAAGATAAGACATGTGAGTATGCTACAGAGAACATTGTGAGATGGTGAAAGATCAGATGTCTGTGTGTGACATGGGAATAAATACTGACAAGGGGCCAGGTCAGCAGGGAGACTTGTGACAGAGGCTAAAGCACCGGGTGGTGCAAGTCACACTGGATTGGATGCTTCAGCGAACTGAAGGTAGTAGAAATAGACAACAATCAAAGAAAGACAAATTGAGCAAGGTTCAGGGCAACCTCTGCTAGCCCTAGGAGGAAGGCCAAGCAACGAGAAGTGCTTTAGGGTAAGCAATTCTGGTAAGTGGGTGCCGCCACTGGAAAATTGTCTTCTAACTGGAGTTTTTTTAATTACCTGTTGTGACCCACTTGTATAGGTCATGAAATCAATTTAGTAAAAAAATTATTTCTTAATAAACAATAAAATAGAACAGATCAAACATTTCAGTGTACTTCATGTTTTAAGGATTTAAAACTTCTGATTTAAAGTATGTATAATACTCTATATATCAATATTTATATCCTTATGTAGTATAACTGTTATGTTATGATCTAAGCAATTAAGTATTTCTCTGTAGGATGTCCATTGTTTTATTGGTTGGTTTTAATTTCAGATATGTTCATTAAACACACGTATATACATGGAAATGTAACAAGGAAATTCCCTGTATAGCTGATCTTCAACAAACAAAAATATCATCTTATTTTTTACAAAAACACAGAACAAGTCCTGCCAGGGGGTTGGTACCAGTGTGTGGGGGGGATGTGGGGATCAGGTGCAGGAGGGTGGATATTATGCAGTATTGTATACACATGTATGTAAATGAAAAAAATGAGACCTACTGAAACTATCCCAGGAATGAGGGTAGGGAGGATAAAGGAGATTGATGGTGGAGGTGAATTCAACTGTGATATACTTTGTAATCACAATGTACCCCCAGCACAACAATAAAAAATGAAAATATATTCATTAGATAAACACAATCCATGCCTATAATTATGGAGGATAAAGTAGAAGCAAATCACTCAAAGTATCACCACCTGTGACCACTGTTAATGTTAGAAGAGCATCAGTCTAGGTGGATCTATGTGGGCATATATGGCTGCTGGCCTGGTTAGCTAGCTAAATAAGAGACCTGCAGAGAAGAGCTGGGTAAGAAAGGATCAACAGCTTAGCTGGGCATAATAATCTTAGGTCACTCTTTCTTCCACTTTGGAATTTGTAAGTCAGAACCTTTCTAGAAAAACAAATCAGAAACAAGAAAAACCTCATGAGGACTTGAGTTATACAATTGAAACTTTAGAATGAATAGGTTTAACATTTTATTTTTTCTGGTTTTTAAAGTAATAGTTTTAACATTTTAAAAGAAATAAAAGACAAGCTTGAAAATGTTTACAATAAACAAGAAATTATAACAGATTTCCAATGTACATTTGGATAGGAAAAATAGAACTTTGGAAATGAAAAAAAAAGGGAGGGTCAGGCAGACATGGTGGCTCATGGGTATTATCCCAGATACTTTGGAGGTGGGGATAGGAGGATTGCAGTTTGAGGCCAGTGTGAGCAAAGAAGTTAGCAAGACTGAATCTTAAAGAACAAGCTGGACATGGTAGTCAATGTCTGTAATCCTAGCTACATGTGAGGCATAGGTAGAATGGTCAAGGTCCAAGGCCAGATCATGCAAAAAGCATGAAGTAAGACCCTATATGAAAAAATAACTAAAGCAAAAAGGGCTAGAGGTGTGGCTCGAGTGGTAGAGCACTTGCCTAGCAAGCATGAGGCCTGAATTCAAACCCCACTACTTCCTCCCCACCACCACCACCAAAGGATTAAAAAAAGTCCTGGTAATTAGAATGTTAAAAGAAAACCTCAATGCATAATTTTAATGGAGATTAGATATTGCTAGAGAGAATGAACTAGATGAAGAAATGATCCTGAATCTATCTCAGAGATTGAGATGAGACCAATGAAGTTGGACATGGAGGGTCTAGGGAGAAGCCTCATATACTTACTTACTTCTCTAGATTCATTCTTTTTTTGTTTGCTCTCCATTGTCTGAGAATAACCTGCTATGCTGTGGATTTGCTTATTTTTTTCTTAAAAGTTGATCAGCAATTTGCTATATTTTTGGAAAACTATTATTGCAGTGTTACTGCAAAAGGTCTAGTTCTACTGCTGCCTAATGAAGACAAACCTTTGTGAGACAGACATGGTGATGAGAGAAGAAAGAGCTTTATTGGTAACAAGGTGGAAAGTTGAAAGATAGAGACTCAAAAAAAAAAAAAAA